ACAGCGATCCCGCCTTTAGAACATCCTCAGAGCACAAAGCCTCTTTGTACGACGAGGGGTGACGGGGGTGCCTTCCAGGCTCCACAGCAAAGAGTGGGCGGTGGCAACACAGGCAGCAAGGAAGGAAGAGGAGCTGGAGCACTGTGGTGGGCCTCGGTCCTGCTCAATACTGTTGGAGGGGTTTACTGGTGGGTGCCCAGTCAAAAGGCTCTGTGAAGCCTCTGCACCCTTCCCGTGGGGGAAGGAAGGGACGGGGCCTGTCCTAACAGATGGCCAGATCACCACCAAGCCCAGAAGGCCAGAAAGCAGAAGGAAAGCACGAAGAAAGGGAGAAAAGCAGGCAGTGGCTGAAGCACACCCTCTGCGCTGCTGTCAGGGCCTCAGGGAATGAAGTCTCTGACAGTCAAGGCTATCACCCCAGGGAATCGGCCTTCTACTGGGATTACCCGCCCCCCAGCAGGTGCTCAAATATGCACTAAGGCAGCAACAAAAACCTACACAGGAAGACAAATTTATTAAAAATTCTAAACAAGGGGCCGGCCCCAAGGCCTGCAGTTAAGTTCGCACACTCCGCTTCAGCAGCCCAGGGTTTTTGCCAGTGCGGACATGGCACCGCTCATCGTGGACAAGGCCATGCTGAGGTGGCGTCCCACATGGCACAACCAGAAGAGGTACTCACAATTAGAATGCACACCTATGTACTGGAGGGCTTTGGGGAGAAGAATTAAAAAAAAATTCTAAATAAATTTAACAGCCTAAAAGCCAAATGAAAAATAATTTTTGTTCATTATGAGAGTCCCAACTCCTATTTGCAAAAGCGATGATGAAATGAATACGTGTTTTACTTTCAGCCTACCCACCTACCTCAGTCTCCTCTTCAAAACTGCTACTTTCTAGCTCTGTGACCATCAAACAGGTTTCAACCGAAGATCAGTGAGCCCCATCTGCACACACTGAAATCAGCCGTGCTGGAGCAGAAGGGACGCGGACAGGGAACTTTCAACTCAGGGGACATCCCAAAAGCACTACAAAATGTCCTACCACTTGAATGCCAGCTACTCTCTTCCAGGGATGCAGTTTTCCTCTTTTACCAATTCTTCCCTCCGTTTCTTCCTTCAACAGGGTCAGATGACTGCATACCTCAAAAGTGACAATCTCTCCCTTATTTCTACACACGCTTTATCACAAAAGCAGACAATGCAGTAACGGCTTTCCACATGGCGACTCGAGAGAACTACTGATAAACCCTGGAACAATCCCATCCTTCTCCTCCTCCACCTGCCCAGCATCACTCCAGCGAGTGTTCTGAGCAGCCCTAGCACAGCACTAAGATCCACTAAAGCCGAACAGGAAAAACCAAACTGCCCGCTGTGGGTAAGGCCTGCAGGTGAGGACTGTTTCTCCTCCTTGTGTGGGCATAACACTACTTGCGTTAAACATTTTTAGTTTTATTTGCACACATTTCCTTCAAAAAAGTTCCTTCAAGACAGCAGCAAAAGCACCAGGAAACTCTCTATCCATCACTCTCAATCGTGTTTAAAAATAATTAAAAAGACAACAGGAACCACTTCAAATGTCCCGCTTCCTTGAGCCCACAGGACAGCTCTCTGCCCTGACAACTGTTCTGAAAACCATGCTGCCACTCTGTCCGACAGCAGTAGGAAGTCCAGTCTCGTCCTTGGTTCAGCCCCCACCCCCTCTCTCTCCAAGAAAAAATGAAACAGCAGAAAGCGTAAACAACCACTTAATGGAAAACACAAATGGGTAAATATTTTCAAAATTGGCTAAAAAGCCTCAGGTCTCAAGAAATTCAAGAATGCTAGTAGGGGGAAATAGGAAGAGAAAAATAACATCGTGTTTCCCTGAAAGTGAGCACTGTAAGAATGCAAAGACAAACGTGGTTCAAAGCCACTGTCCCTCCTCCACTTACCAGTGCTTTCGTCTTTTTAATGATTTCTCTCTCCTTCTGTCTTTCCATACAGAACGGTATTTCTAAATCGTTTCTTCTGTACCTATTTCTCCAGCCCCATAACAAATTTTACAATTTTCAGCTGACCTCTTTGGTTCACGTGAGCAGGGTGATGAAAAGCCAGGGGCAGGTCCCTTCGCATGCAAAGCTCATGTGCAGCCCCAGGCCCAAACCCCAGCAGCCCTCTTTGCAGAGCCCCTGATGAGGGTGGACAGCAGTTAGTTACAGCTGGACCAACACTTCTGGAGCTGCAGGGCCACACTGGTCCATAAAGCACCTCCGTGAGAAGGAGAAAGGGGTGCCCTCTCTGAAGGGACACAGTTCCACACGAGGTGCTCATCTTGGTAAGGGGAGCACAGAATGGACTTCCACTCCCACTTGCCACCCAAAACAAGTGTCCTTCTGCTGGGCCCAATGCATACAACCCTCCACAGCTGCGCTGCAAAAATGTACCTGGGGCAACACTGCACCTCCAGAGTAGGTTTCCAGAAAGAACCACCTCACCAAGGACAAATAAACAGGCACTGCACAAATTTCATTACCAGAAATCCCTGCATTTGCTAATATAAATTCATTCCTAAACATATTAGGACTAGAGCAAAAAGTGTCTAATAGAAGAAGAAAACTAGCAAATTTTGGAAAAAGGCAACCCTTACATCTTGAGGGATAATCGGTTGTTTCCTAAAGACCATAATCTTGGACAACAGGCCTAAACAGCTGAACTTCAAATGCACGCCATAAGCTGAAACACCAAAACAATCACTATCATCTGCAGAGGAAGGCGTGGACACTCACCTCTGCAGGTTTACTTTCTCCAAATCTGATAGTTTTCCTTCTTTCTTAGACTCCTTTTTGCTCCTATTCCATAGTTACATAAAACCACATATAGTGACACGTGGTTAAATTTGCAACGCCTGATCAATTCCCCTCGTGGGTGGTGGGCCCCTTTCCTGCACAGAAATAAGAGGAATAGATACCCTGGATCACAAAGGGCTTAACGTTCCATGGCTTCCAACCCTATCATTCTTTTATGCACTACAGAAGAGCTAAGTGTCACATGCGTCCACATTAGTCCCAGTCATGCAGGAGGGGCAACAGAAGGCAGCCTGCGGGCTAGCTGGGGCAAAGCTGAAATGGAGTACAGCCCAGCGTCAGAAGGCTAAGGCAGCGGTTCTCGAACTTTAGTGGGCATCGAATCTACTGGGGAACTTTTCAAGACTCAGATTTCTGGGGCCCTCCATACATCTGATAAGTGAGAACGTCCTGGGGCACTTATATTTTGACAAAGCTCAAACTGCTGACCTAGGTCCACTAGAATGGTCAGAGAAACTGGGAAATCCTCCACGCCTATCAGCAATTCCAAAATAAAAGGCAGCCATCACCAACCGAGGCTGTGCAAGTCAGAAAGGATGAGAAGAGGACCGCCAGCTGCAGCCTAACAGGCTGTGCTGGGCAGGAGCCTGTAGCTAGAGGTTCCCTGTTACTGGGCAAAAAAGCCCTGTGCCCTGTAAGCAAAAAAATTTTTTGCATGTGAGAAATACTTCTAACATCTGAAAAATATTTAAAATACTATAATGACTATCTCTGTACCCTACACCCAAGATAAGCAAATCTTAAATTGCAATGATCTGATTGAGAGGTTTTCAGTACTAGAATATTACAGATACAACTACAGCCCTCTGTACCCCTGTCCAACCCCATTCCTCATCTCCTCTTCCCAGAGATAATCACTACTCTGAATTTGGTGTTAGTCGTTCCCCTGCACGTTGCTATACTATTACTTCGTATGTACACAGCCACAAACAACATAATTTTGCATGTTTGCAGATTTTACACAAGTGGAAACAGTCTGTAAGAATTCTTCTGTTCCTTGCTCCCCCACCCCACAGTAGATTTGTAAGAGTCAACCACTTTAATGCATGTGGCTACAGTTTATTTTTCACAATGCTAGACCATCAACTGTGGGGGACTATCTAACATTCTGTGTATTCCAGGTGGGTGGACATTTAAGCTGCAATGAGCATTCCTGTACTTATTCTCTCGGACAAGTGTGCAGCAGTTTCTTAGAGTGTATACCTGGAAATGGACATTTGGGGTAAATAGGTATGTTTGCCCTCCTTCAACTGGACATCACTATACTGCTCTCCAAGGTGACTGGGTCCAGTTACATTCCCACTAGCAGTATGTAACCACAACCTTACCAACACTTGGTTATCGCAGCATTTAATTTTTGCCAATCTCATGGGCGTGAAATGGCATCTCACCGCTGTTTCAATTTGCATTTCTCTGATTATAAGTCTTCGACAAGGAAATTCTCCTGCTTTTATATGCACGTGTCAAATAGGTGTTTAGGAAAATCTAACCCATCTTGTCTGATTCAGGGCACTTCTTCCCCAAGTACCCTGCCAACAGCCACCACAGCTGGAAAGCTGAGGTGCAGGAGGGCACCAAGAAAACAGCTGAGTTAAACAAGGAATCATCTTGGACAGAGGACACTAATTAACGCACTTGCTAATTAGTCTTTCCCTTCCCTCTTCTGTCAAGTCTTACTTCCAAGACAATACTATGGGCCTGTGGCCTTAGAACAGGGGAGAGAACAGGGATGGGGAGTGCGAAAACTAAAACACTGACATAAAAGTACCACGACAGTCTTTACGCAAAGAAAATAAAGTGACTGCAGAGCAATACCCATTACTCCACCTTCTAAATACTCTGCACACTAACAGACTCCTCTCAAGCTCATCACATCGGGCTCCCTCTGAAACGTTCCCACCTTTTTCTCTAGACCAGACGCTGTCCCCCCTCCCTACCGCAACCCTTTCATCTCCCTTCCCCCTCAATGACGAGATAGCCTCTCCCTTTTCCCCAGTCCACAGCTTCTGGTTCCTAGCTCCACAGGACCCTCTCCCTCTCCTCTCCAACTCCACGTCCTCGCTTCCTTCCCTTTCCAAGATGCATCCACAGTAAAAACAGCCCTCCCATCACCCACCCCAAATACAGGAATCCCCTGCAGTCCGCGGCCCTGCGTTACATGCCAGGCAGGCGGGCGACTTGTCCCCCTTCGCTTGGGACAGCTGTCCTGTCTCGGGGGGTTCTCCAAGTGTGCCAGGTCCAGACCACCCGGAAAAAACTCATTCGGCCTTCGGTGGCAGAAGCGTCTTTACCAGGGCCACAGGCGCACTCCTGTCTGGGGCATGAAGGGACCTCGGGCCCTTTCGTGGAAAAGACACCTCCCGGGGACCTCCACACAGGCAGGCAGGCCTCCCTCCTGGCGCCCAGTGGGGATGCTTTAGCCCTCGGAGCGGTAGGGAAGGGGGCCTGGCAGAGACCGAACGGTCCCCGCGGTAAGAAGTTTCCGCGGCTCTGCCCCACTCGCCCAAGGAGGCCCTCGCCCCCAGAGCACACCCCTTACACGAGTCTCCCCGCTGCGGCTCCCCGGATCGGCTCCCCAGAGCACCACCGACCCCCAGAGCGGGCCCTGCACCTCCGTCCCGCCCCGCAGGAGAGCCTTCCTCCTAAGCCAGCCCGAACGGCGCTGGGTGGGCGTGCCCGGACCGGGACCGGCGCCCCCCGCTCCCCGAGCGATCCTCCCGGCTCTCGGGGGCTGGGAGCTCCTCCTCGCCCCGGCGCCCTGCGCGGGCCCGCGCCGGCCCAGGGGGCCCGGGTCCCAGCCAGGCTACGACTCTCACCGGCTCTGTGACCTTGGGCAAGTCACTGCCCGGCGGCAGCCTCAGTTTCCCCCTCTGCCCAGCGGGGACCGGGAGAGCTCCCGCGCTGCCCGCCCGAGGGGAGGGGCTGCCCCGGGGGAAACGCTTTGTGAACCGCTCGGCGCGGCGGGGACGCCCGGCTCCCAGGGCTCCCGGCCGGACGAGGCTCCCCCGCCCGCGCTCCGCCCCTCGGCGGGGCCGCGCTGCTGGACCGCACGCCCTTGGCCGCCGCCCGCGCGAGCCCCCCACGGCCCTCCCGCCCGGCCCGCTCCCGCCCCCGTACCTGCTCCCGGCGCTCGGCCGCAGGCGCCGCCACCCTGCGCGCCCGCCCGGAGAGGCCCGGGGCCCGGAGGGCTGAGGCGGCCGACGGCGGCGGGCTCGGGCCGGGGCGGCGGCGGGGGGCGCGGGCGGCGCGGGGGCCCGAGCTCGGCGGGGCCCGGCCTGGGAGACGACGACGAGGGCTGGAAGTGCGCGGCGGCCGCGGCTGCTGAGGCGGTGGCGGCGGCGACCGCGGCGGCAGCGCTTCCGCTCATGGCGGGCCCGCGGGCAGCGGCCCCGGCGGCGCCTCGACTCTGGCGCGGCGGGCGCTGGCTGGGCCCGGGCCAGAAGCTGCAGCGGCTGTGGCGCCGGCGGAGGCGGCTCCCGGAGGGGGCGGGGGCGGGGCCGGGAAGCGGCGGCGGCGGAGGGGGCGGGGCCTCCGCTCCGCCGCCGCCAATGGGCGCCGGGCTCCTGGGCTCCGGGGCGGTGGCGGCGGGGGCGGCCTCTGCCCGGCCTCTCGCCCGGGCCGGGAGGCTGAGGGCCGCCGGCTGGAGAGGCCTGCTCGGGGGCGCGCCGCCCGGGTCCGCCTCCGGGGCCAGGCCTCCCGCGACCCAAGCCCGCCTGCGCCTCGGGCTCCGCTCGCGGCTGCCGGGGCGCCGGTGTTCGCGCCCGCGGGGTCGCCGGGGCTCGGCCCGGGAGCTGCCTCCCGCTGCCCGGCTGCGCCGCCTCGGCCTCGCTCCCCCGCTGGCCCGCGCTGCAGCCGCCGCCTCCCGGTCTCCGTTCCGACGCTCAGGAGGAAGCTGTCTGCGTCCTCAGGCTGCGTCTCCGCGATGGGTCAGCCCCGGCCCGGAGAGGACGGCTGAGGCCGAGACGGGCGGACGGAGAGGCGCCGCCCGAGCTGGGTCAGGAGCCGCGGCCCGCCGGCTCAGCCCTGGCCCCGCGCCCCCTTCTCTGATTCTCTTCCCGTCCTGCTTAAACGCCCTGGCCTTGGAGGACTGGCAGGAAGCCGGCCCCGCGCCGGGCCCGTCTCAGAAGAGGGAGAGGCTGCGAGGTGAGGAGCGGCTTCTGAGCTGGGCTCAGTTTTCCCGAGAGTAGTCTGCGGGTTCGCGGCCCCCCTGGCCGCCCTCCCCTCTTGGATGTGATGCTGGTCGCCGAACCCATTTTCTCTGTTTCTCTGACGCCCGTACCAAAGCCGTGGAGGAGCAAAATTGCTCAGCCGTGTGCTGGGGGTGCCGCCAAGTGCAGCCATGTGGGCGAGGGCGCCGCTGAGCTGCTGACTCGATCCTTTCCATAAAGGGTTATCCTCAGCCTTTCCGCCCATGCAGCCGCCGACTGGGGACCGAGCAGAGACGGCGACCAGTTGACAAGGCCCAGTGCTCCGGTGGCGGGCTGGTCCCATGAGAGAGAAGTGTGAAGGAATCTGGCAACAGAGATTTCCGATTCCACCCTGACGCTTACTAGGGGCGTGATCTTTCACGCACATGGTCATCAGCCATGTTAGGCACTGGGGACACAGTGATGAAGACACAGTCCAGGCCTTCAAAGGATCGACGGCCTCCTCGGAGGATGGTGAGATATGCTCTTGGAAGTTAGGAACTGAAGAATGAGCAGCAGTTTACCAGGTGGAGCAGGTTGTGGGAAACTGGACTGGGAAGACGTGAAGATTCTAACTGGCCAAGGGACCTAGTATTGCCTGAATTCCATTCTTGATTTTACAGTCACAGAGGAGGTAGATAACATGGCATTACTACCCGGGGCTTCAGTCCCAATGCCCGCCCGCCGTAGAATGCCCGGAAACGCTGCCTCTAAACTATGGCGTTCTTCTCTCCTTTGACACGGCTCAGCAGCCTTGAGCCAAGTCAGACCTACTTTCACCCCAAAGCCCAAACCCCAGTTGCAGCTCTTACAACTCCCATTTGGTCAAATGCCTTGCCCAACAGCCCTAGAAGAAAAGGAGTAGGCAAGCTGTTTAATCCAGTAACCAAGGCTGCCTTGCAGGCCAAGAAGAAACAGGCGAGAGGGCCAGGCGGTGCCCTGGGCCGCCTCACCTTGCCAGTTAAGGGGTGCAAAAGAAAGGACAGAGCACGTCCATGTGTGCTGTCATCTTCATCTCTGAAATTTCCATCCTCCAGCAATCGTCAGGAAGAGAAATGAGCATGATGGGTTTAGGAAACCACAAGTTTAATAGGGCTGGAGTGCAGCCTGGGTGACGAGTGGAGAGTTAAGAGGAGGCCAGAAGACCATGAAGAGTCTCGAATGCTACGTTGAAGCATTTGAACTTAAAGCAGGTAACTAAAGAGAGCTATTGAAGGGTTCAGTGAGAGAATGACATGGTCAGATTGGATTTTGGAAAGACTCTGGCTGCTGCATGGAAAATGGATTGGAGAGGAACAAGAGGAGAAGCAATAAAGCTGGCTAAAAAGCTCTTTGGCAAGGGATGAAAGTGGCACAAACTGGGGCAGAGATGGTAGGAATAGAAAGCTATTAAGGTGGTAGAATCACCACGACCTAGCTGTTGAGGAAGATGAGAGGATCAAGGATGACAAAGATTTTTTCTTGGGCAACTGGGTGACAGTAGTGCCATTCCTGAAGACAGGAGATACGGGAGGAGGAACGGAGAACTGTGGTGCTGGTTAGATCAGTTCATTTCTCTGACCTCGCTGTCCTCATGCATATAAGGCAGAGGGCTGAGGGAGCTGGACTAGAGTCACTACTATACAGCTTCTAATGTCATTCTGAGACTGGCATCTAGGGATTTACAAGGAGAGGCAAGGTAGCAGATTGCCCATTTCACTTTCTGTTTCTATCTTTTTTAATTGTAAAATACACATAACAATTTTATCATTGTAATCATTTTCAAGTATAAAATTCAGTGGCATTAATTACTGACTTAACTTGGGCTGCCATAAAAAAAATACTATAGGCTGGTGTCTTAAACAACAGAAATTGATTTCCTCACAGTTCTGGAGACCTGAAGTCCAAGATCAAGGTGCCAACATGATCACTTTCTGGTGAGAGCTCTCTTCCTGGCTTGTAGATGGTCAATTTCTTGTTGTGACCTCTCGTGGTGGGGAGAGAGAGCGAGCAAGCTCTCTGGTATCTCTTCTTATAAAGGCACTAATCTGGAGGATCTTGTCAAGATGGTGGTGTACGCAGACTCTGAACTCATCTCCCACGAACACAACCAGGTTACAGCTGTTTTTGGAAAAGTTACCCTGGATTGAAAACTGAATAAAAAGAACCCCCACAACAAGGTACAGTCCTGACTAAGGCAGGAGAGGCAGAAATTCCTGCTGGAGAGGAAAAAAGCCACCTTCGGGAGCAGCGGAGTTTCTCAGCTGGCCAGGCAGGAGCCACCCTAAGGTACGCAGCCTTCCCTAGAGGAATGAGGTCCAGAGCGGGGCCCGATATTGCTATAAGCATCCTTCAGACTCAGCACAACTGAGACGAGGATCTTACTGTCTGGCTTTGCTGGCTATTAACTGCAGCAAGGATACCCCCAGAAAAGCTATTTCAAGAAAGCCAAAAAGACCTGGGTCTTAAAGGGCCCATGTACAAACTCACCGTTCTCAGCAACCTAAAATCACCAGAGAGAAGGCTGACAGTCCTTTGGTGAAAAGAGACTCACCTGGTGGGCTCTGGGGGCATCTCAGTGAGAGGAGGAACCTCTCTAGAGACTGAGACGTTGGTGGGGGCCGTTGTTCTGACCTGCTCCAGGCTGCTGACACAGACCTGGGCCGGCAGATGCCATTGAGGTTCTTCCCTTGCCCTGTTATCCCAGGGGTCTGCCACACCCACTAGGACCCAGATTTAATCCAGTTCAGCCAGGGTAGGCAGCTCACCCTAGGGACTGCCCCCCCCCAACAGTAAGCATTCAGGCTACTTTTCCCCCTGCATTGACTGCATGCCTTGATCCTCTACAGGCAGGTGAGTGTGTCTGACTCTGTGGGGCAGAGCCTGTGTGAGGACCAGGTGAACCATTGAGGGCATTGGTGGAGAGGTGGGGGCCTCTGCAGTGAGGCACCAGGGTACACTTCAGGGGGTTGAGAAGTGTGCACAGACCAGGACTGTGTTGACGGTGTATGTGGTCCTGTGGGGGGTGAGGCTTGTCAGCGGCAGAAGACCTGTGCTTCACAAATAGCTTTAAAAAGGATCAACTCCACCTTCCAAAGCCTGAAACAATTAAGTGTTCCCATGCCTAGTGCCAGCCTCACTCAGCTGCATTCCTAAGAGAACTGACAACAGCCTTGTAGGCCTGAGGCCCTATAGCAACTGTAAGCCCCTGAGCCTAGCAACCAGCTACACTGTGTACCCGCCCAATTAACAGGAAAACTACAACAGGAGTGTGCTGTTAGACTTTGTAGCCAACCGTGCTGAGGCTCCCCAAAGTGGATTTACAAACAGCTGGCTAGGGAAGGAAAGACTAGACTCCCTGGGTACCTGCATTAAGAGCAACCCTGGCACAGCAGAAGGACACAAGTAGCCCACAAAAGGGTTACTCCTGGTCATTTGGACTGGTGACTAGAGGGAAGCACACTGCTGGGCCTCATAAGGCATCTCTTACATAATGCCACTTCTCCAAGCTCAGAAGACATATCTGACTCACCTAATACATAGAAATAAGCATAGAGAAAGAGGCATAATGAGGAGACAAAGGAATACATTCCAAGCAAGGGAACAGGACAAAACCCCAGAAAAAGGACTAAATGAAACAGAAATAAGTGACCTATCCAACAAAGAGTTCAAACAAAATATCATAAGGATGCTCACAGATATTGGGAAAAGACTGGATGTACACAGTGAGCTCATCAACAAAGAACTGTAAAATATGAAAAAGAACCAATGAGAAATGAAGAATACAATACTGGAAATGAAAAATTCACTAGAGGGACTCCATAGCAGAGTAGAGGATACAGAAGAATGGATCAGCAAGCTAGATGAAAGACTAGAGCAAATCACCAAAGCTTAACAGAAAAAAGAAAAAAGAATTAGACAGAATGAGAACAGTCTAAGGGAACTCTGGGACAATATCAAGCATGCTAACATTTGTATTTTAGGTGTCCCAGAAAGAGAAGAGAGAGACAAAGGGGCAGAAAATTTATTTGAAGAAATAACAGATGAAAATTTTCCTAATCTAAGGAAGGAAGCAGACATCCAAGTACACAAAGAGCTCCAAAGAAGATAAGCCCAAAGAGGCTGACACCAAGACACATTATAATTAAAATGCCCAAAATTAAAGATAAAGAGAGACTCCTAAAAGCATCAAGAGAAGGGCAACAAGTGACATACAAAGGAAAGCCCATAAGGCTATCAGCAGACTTCTCAGCCAAAACCCTACAGGTGAGAAGAGAATGACATGACATATTAAAGTGCTCAAAGGACAACACCTACAGCCAAGAATACTCTATCCATCAAGGTTGTCATTCAGAATGGAAGGAGAGATAAAGAGCTTCCCAAGCAAACAAAAATTAAAGGAGTTTATCACCAGGAAACTAGTTGTACAAGAAATGCTGAAAGGACTTATTTAAGTGGGAAAGTGATTACCACAAATAGGGATAAAATAATTATCCGGAAAAAACAAACAAAAAAATAGGCAATAAAATCACTGGTAAAGGTAAAAATATAGTAAAGATAGCAGATCAACTACCTGTGAAGATAATATGAAGGTTAAAAGACAAAAGTACTAAAATTACCTATTTCAATGATAAGAGGGTAATGGATAGACACACACAAAACAAGAGATTATATATGATTTCAAAAACAAAATTTGGGAGGAGGGGAGTGAAAAAGTAGAGCTTTCAGAAAGAGGTCAAGCTAAAGAGTCTATCAACTCAATGTAGACTGTTATATACATAGATTATATAAGATCCTCATGGTAATCACAAATCAGAAACCTATAATAAGTAAGCAAAAAAAATAAGACAAAAGCAATCAAACATATTACTAAAGATGGCCATCAAACCACAAGGGAAGAGAGCAAGAGAAAAAGACAGGAAGAGAGAAGAACTACTAAAACACCCAGAAAAAAAAAAGTAACAGAATGGCAATAAA